CCAGTCGCTTTCTTGTCGAGCCAGTGGAACTTTCCCACCCATTCCCGCTCTCATCACAGTTGAGCGCCGTTATTGCCCAGAGTCTCAATTTCCGCGCCGATATTCTTCATTTTCTTGCCGTCCCGTTCCACAAATCATCCGGGTTGACCGATCGATCCACCAGACTAGGCTCAGGTCAGTCGGGCTGCACTGGGGCAGGGGCTTCGCGTGATCTACTGTGATAAAGGCATTCATTCGTGCCGCGACTGTCACCATATCGTGCCAGTTTTGGCAGCGTACCTTAGTCACTACTCACGACTCCACCTCTGAGGTAGTCGCAGTCTTCATTGGAAACGGACACGATTGAGCGGATTCCGTGCCTCTTGGGCAAATCCTTGATCTTCTCTTTCTCTCTCGCCTCCTCCTCTCTACATGTGCACGCTCTTTCAGAAGGCCGCTGCTACATGTCAACTTTTGAGCTTGGCAGATTATTTTCCTTGTCGGCGATAAGCAGTGCCACAGTCTAGATCATGCAAAACCATTGTAGTCCTTCTACGGCTTACCACCTGACTACTGCATTAAGGGCTGCTCGCTTGCTGCTTGTCGGCTATTATCATCTAAATCATGCCATGTACACATCTCCAACTGTTGCTTCTTGTCGGTTTGGATGGGCCTCACATCACGACGCGATCATGCCCAAGTTCAGTTCACTTTCCTTTTGCTAAGTATGGTTCTATCCATTATTAGCTAAGATCGTTAGGTACTTTTCTGCCCAGCTGCATTGATCGCTTGGGGAATCTTATATACCGGGCTGAACCCTACAAGATATTGCTGGAGAGTAATTTCTGCCTAAAGAAAGTTGGGGCTTTGAGACAGACATGGAGTCCATGAGCAAACCTGGCTTAGTGAGTGGCATGACCTACTAGGTCTGCTTCGTTCATCATACAGTAATCATCGATTCCAACCTGATAGCAAAAGGGATAGAAGTTTTAATTCAAATTCTGAATGTTGGACTCAAGCGTTGCCACGAAATGACGTGATTTTATGTCACAACACAATAGGTTTTAGAACTCATTCTACTTTGGTGTTGTTTAACATGAGGACTCTTGGAACTTGTTTAAGCTTTTGGCTCTCACAAACATACATAGTTAGATAGATGACCTTTTATGCAGCTTTGAAATTTTAAAGATATTTTTAAATGATTATGAAATCAAATGTATAATTTTATGTTGCTTTGTGTAAAATCTATTTGTGCGACTAGAAAGTTTAAATTTTATAAATTTTTTTATTGTTTTGTATATAATTATAATGGGTAAGTTTTATAAGGCTTTATAAGGCTTTTGGCAATAAGGTTTTTACTTTCAACTTATTCTCAAATCTATAAATATGGTTTATCTCAATTGAGCTCTACTGATATTCAAGACAGATATAGTTGACATTGACTTTTAAAAGATCGAAGAGATTTTTGTTTCATTCTACCTACAACATTCGATGTCAATGTATTGTTGTATATTATGAATAGATAATGTAGTTAGATCACATTCTGCTGCTTGGAGATTTGTATGTCTGTTAAATGATATATTTTTCCAAGAATATACCATTTTTGTTGAAATATTACACATAGATGACCATATTAAAATATTTGAGAATACTATCCACTTGTATCAATCCCCTTGTACTATCTTGTTTTTGAATCCATTGTTTCAAATTCTTATCTTCATTTTCATCATTGTTAATAGTCTTTGATAAACATATGATGAAGATATCTGATGACATCATGTAAGAGAAAATTGACCGCGTGACAACAAATATGACATTAGTCTAGCTTAATTGTGTCTTCAGTTTCCAATTTTAATTAGATCAAACAGTTATGCTTGTGAGATAATTATTACATATACATAAATATACATCTATTTTTATAGAAAATAAGAAAAAACCAAGTCAAAGCTATGACATGAGTTCAATTCTTTTTACTTTCCTAAATGATTCAACTAGAGATTTATCAACTTATTCAGAGATTGATTGTTATAGTAGGCTTTACATTCATTCTTGTTGAACCCTCCCACTCTTCATAATATTAAGTCTAGGTTACGTTCTTATTGAAAAAGACACATGTTTATAAAGCTTGACTAAGCCATTAGAGATTATTCATCCATCTACATCTTCATGATTAATGTATAGGTACTATACCACTTTCGCTGCAACATGTGTTAATATGACTTATTGTCAATTTTAACATCATAAATAAAAAACCAGCATGTGTGGATATTTCCTGTACATTATGTAAATAAATAATGATCTTTTACGCCCAAAAGTGAATACTTTATCCATGTGACATGTTTATGAGTACTTTTGTGACAAACAATCTAATATGAAAAATGGTATTATTTGTGTAATTTAATTGAGATTACATGCATGTTTTTACTTCACACATATGATTTATTACCGTGTATACATGTAATATCTTCAACATAATATCTTGAAGATACTCATGTTCTTTGTAGTATGTGTGGATAGTTATTGCATCTTAAGATCTTAAAAGAGGATGTTTTCAAAATGAGATTTTTTGAATCGAGCCCTATGTTACCATTTAGGTTTTTTACTTAAATTATATGATGGTATCTTCCAGCATTTTTTCCATATTACTTAGACCCAATTTCATTATTTTGGCAGGTGTGATGCTACACCGAGACCAAAACCTCATTTACATTTGAGTGGGAAGATCCTTATGTTTGGCAAATTAGGTCAATCCGAAAGATTCGTCATGTAGTTGGTTCTGGTGGAAACGAGCAAAGATTGAATATGTCTTACATGATTGATTCCGGCATGGCATAGCGATGGAGATGTTGCCAAGCTCTTCAGGGTAGGTTTAGCAAGAACCGTACGGAAAATGTCCTTTTAGGTTTTCTTCCTTCGGAGCCTCCTCTAGAGTGAAGTTTCGGATCATTATGGGTTTGGGTCACCTTTAAAATTGATTTATCATGAATTCAAATGCAGACAATGTATAACTTTAACTCTGAATGTGTTTTATAAGATATGCCATTGTTCAAATGTTTGGAGAATCAGAAAATTTGATTGGAAATGACATCAAGAGAAGTGAAGATGTTGATATCACTTCCCAAATGCTTACAAGTGCAAGTCGTTGAAAGACTCTGAGAGAAACGAAAAGTACTTAGTTAAGAGTGATAATTGTTTTGGTTCTCTGGATGAAACCTTAAGCATTGACAAAAGAAGTCATTCAATTTCTCAGAACAGCCGGCGACTCTTCGAGATGGTACAGTTCTTCCACATAAGATCTTGTATCTGTTCACCCAAAGTATACAATCAGAAGCCAGTACCTCACAACGTAACTCAGGGTAAGAGTCCTGCATAATGAGTTTAATCATACTTCCAACAACTTCAACCAGGTGGTTTGGTGAACGAATTATTATATATTTATCTTCCCTCGTCCGTCACACGATAAAGGCCGGTGGATCAATGGAGGTGAAGTGTTTGCAATGTGAGTGTTGACAATGGAGTTTTAATTTCGTGACTCATCACGAATTTCAATTTTAATTCGCCACCGGTATCAAACGCAGATCTTCTCCTAAGCAGATCAAACGCTGTTTTGTCGCATGACATCTCCCTCCCGCTTTGAGGAGGGAGATGTCATGCGATTATGGACTGTTCTTTTCCTTTCGCCCAAGATACGGTGAGTCTTTCGCCAAGGAGATATGATGAAGCGTACCGAAGTCCAAATTTGGACTAAGAGCCAACAAAGCTTTATGACACACAGTAAGAGAAGTTCATTTGTAATACCCAAAAGCAAGAATGGGAAGGGTGTAGGAATAGGATTACTAGAACACTCTATCCGTGCGACGCTGTGAGCCTCTGCCCTGCCCTGCCATGCCAGGCCAGAAAAACAGGAAGACGAAGTTTGAATGGCACACCTTCCTTCTGCGAAGCACCCTCAAAACATGTCAAAATGGTTGACGTCTCACTGACTGGCCGATCCCGAAACTAATGATACAATGTGCCACATACGACCCTCCATGCCAGAGTGGAGACATATGCTCGACCTCCCTCCCGAACAAACCATAACAAGAGAAGTTGAGGGCTCACGGCGGGAAGACGAAGATTATTTTATCGCCAGCAAGATCACTTTCGTTGAAGGGTGAATCCCAGGCCCCAAAATGAATGCGACATATTAACTTCGGAGCCAAAACAGAACAAGGGTCTGCCGACGAAGGATTATATAAATAATAAAGAATAGAAAAAGATGAGGAAAATGGTGGGCTGCGCGGGGCGTGGCCCACTAGGGCAGAAAACAAAGAGCAATGCAACTCCAGAAATACCGAAGAAGGGGGCAAAGGTTGAGTCGTACCCGGAAGTCATATCATCAGAGGTAGATAGATGGTGGTCAATGCGGTCAGTTTTCGACGGGTCGACGAGGATGGAGGTAGTAAATCAATGCATCTCTGAGCTAAATGCTCATTGATGGAAAGTAAACAACTACGGTCACACTTGCTTTGCGTGACTCCATCAGGTGATTTACTCTCTAACGGTTGTTGAAGTCGATGATGTGACCCTATATTTGAACAGACTTCACGTACTTGTTCGCTCACAATTAATTAAATTCAATATTTGATCCCATACCTACTTCCAGTACTATCGGTACCAGTGGCTCCATGTACCGTAGTCCAGTGACCCGCGGGTTCGGATCGGGTCGGGTCGGGTCATGTCGTCGGGTCCACCAACGAGATCGATGTGAGGGGCGCAGGGCCGAGTCGGGTTAGAACAGTTCCGTTACAGGACAGTGCAGATGCGCGACCCAGGTCCGTGAGTGGTTTGGATCCGAGATTTGGCCCTCGCTTCACTGTGGGGTAAGCAGTAGTGAGGTCGGTTGGCTCGGGGCTCGGGGAAGCGGTTTTTTGTAGTCTTGCGATGCATTGCTAGGGTATTTGTTTCCGGACGAGGAACTGAGGAGCAAGCCAATCCTCCAAACTAGTCCTTTACATACTCTTCACAGCGCTGGTGAAAGCAGGGAAATAAACTTTTAGGGCTCCCCGACTCGCTTCCTCTGCCTCTGTCGCTCGCTGAGCCGTGCTGTGAAGGTGCTCCGCTCCTCCTCCTTCTTGCCTCTGCCCTGCATGTCCTGACTTCTTCCTGACTGGTCTGTTCCGTTTTAGAGGATACCACTAGCAGTAGGCTTACTACGCTGACGCCTCTAGCTCTATTCTAAACCTGCCTGCTAAGCCAGCGCAAGTAGGTCTTGGCAGGCTCCTGCTGATTGGCTTCGTTGTCCGGCTATCTTCCTTCGTCCCCAAGCGAAAGTAGAGAGCGAGGTTGAGAGAGAGGGAGAGACTGCGAGGCGCGGACTACTGTAGTTGCTAGTGAACGAGTTGCTTCGGCCTTTTGCTTCCTCCACCTCCTCCCCGCTCCCCCACGCTCCCCCGCGGCCCTCCCTTCCATTCCCGTCCTTGGCTTCCCGTCCCGTCGTGGTAGTCGTGTCGTCGACTCTTGTTTCGTCTCGTCTGGTTCCGCGTCCATAACTTAACAACCATCTCTCTTCCTTTCCTCGTTCGTGCTTTGTGTGTAGGGGACTTGCGCGTTGTCCAAGTTCCGCGTCGAGGGTTGAGTAAGTCTGAACCACCTGCTGTTTCGCGGACGATCATCTTTCGGAGCAATCTAGCAAAATGGTTGAGCAGCTTACCGAGGAGCAGATTGCTGAGTTCAAGGAGGCTTTCAGCCTGTTCGACAAGGATGGCGATGGTGCGTCCCCCTCATCTCGTGCCTCCCACCGATCGTGCTTTTCTTTGCCTGCAGCGAGATGTAGCTTGTTCGCGGACGCGTTCTTGGCCTGACGGTCAAATTACGCATGTTCGTGTATTACCGGTAGTTTGTGTCTTTTTCTGTTTGCGTACAGGAGATGCCGTTCGAATGTGTCTGTGTCCCAATCCGATCGCGGCTGCAGTAGCGATTTCTGTGATTACCGCCGTGGAGTGTCGTGGGATGTCTCGCCTCCCTTGCGAATGTCCTTGGCCCAAGCTGTTAAGACCTTTGTATCGTGCGCTAAACCGCAGCAGGATGGTCGTCACTGCATGCTCGTTCTCACGTTTCCTGATTCGAATTGCAGGCAGCATTACCACCAAGGAACTCGGCACCGTTATGCGGTCCTTGGGACAGAATCCCACTGAGGCTGAGCTTCAGGATATGATCAATGAAGTGGACGCCGATGGGAACGGTACAATCGACTTTGCGGAGTTTTTAAGTCTGATGGCCCGGAAAATGAAAGACACCGATTCCGAGGAGGAGCTTAAAGAGGCCTTCCGTGTGTTCGACAAGGACCAAAATGGTTTCATCAGCGCAATGGAGCTCCGACACGTGATGACCAATTTGGGCGAGAAGCTTACCGACGACGAAGTGGACGAGATGATCCGCGAGGCAGACGTCGACGGAGATGGCCAGATCAACTACGAAGAGTTTGTGAAGATGATGATGGCCAAGTGATTAGCTCTAGAATTTTTGCCAATCAATGTCTTCTCATGTGTAGTTACAACGAGTGGCGTTTTGATGCCTCATCATTGTTTCCGCGTGTAGGCTCTGCCTCCCTATGCGGACAGACCTCGGGAAGTTATCGTAGTCGGTTGTGTGAATCACCGCCTATTCTGTAGATTTTCTTACCGTCAGTCTTTTTATCCGCAAACCTGTCTTCCTTCCCATCCTACAGTGAAGGAAGGCTCGATCTTTATTATTAGTACGGTTTCCGAAGGTGAGTTGTAGCACTCTTCCTCTAATCTTGTGCTTCGTGCACCCACTTTCGCTCTCATTTTTTTCTTTTTGAAGTATCTTCACTCCTTTTTGTCAGCGAGGAGTAGAGAGTCAGGTCCTCGCACTCAAAATCTATGGCTGCCGCTTTACGTCTCATCGGCAAGTTTCATTTCGTTATTGCCGCCCGATCGATGCGTATACCATAAAATAGCTCTCCATTTACCAGTTCCGAACTCCGATCGACTACTGTACAAATATTTTTCAAAGTTATATTCTCAAATATTTGCATACAGTGGATGATAGTTTTACGTACTTGGTAGTTGTAAGTACTCTAGAAAGCAGGATCAAGCCGTTAAGCTTGTAGTGTTAGCACCCCTTTGATGCATCGGAGAGATCGTGAGACTTTTGATCTTCGGTCTGCGAAATATAACTACAGATGCATTCTTAAGGATGCAGTTCGGTGAAAATTGGAAGTACTTTCGTTGAGAAGACGTCATCCCCTGGTCATTTCTCAATAAAATTGTGTCCAAAATTCGCCTGCTTCTCATTGTCAGACGCTCTGCCTGAGGGAGAAACGTGGTCTTCTGATGTTTTCAGTCCAGCGGCATGTTGATACAATCGACCAGCGAATGTTCATGCATCTGCAGGTGGAATTTATCCCACGTCGGGGTTCTGATCAAAGGAATTTTACTGGAATCTAACGTTAGTAGCAAGCCTCTTTGTTGTAGCAGGTTACCGAAGTTCATCAGCGCTGTCCTTCCTCCTCTGGTCACGTGAGTCAAGGCTCTCGATTCAAGTAGGAAACGTTCACCGTGTGTCGTGTACTGACAGACTAGATAATTCGTACTGTTGGATCTCACTTTTCGCACCCGGAGTTTCTGCACATCTCGTAAGTTGATCAAATCGACCGTCTGGTGGAGCAAGTGGGACCACCGGCCGATACAGTTTCCTTCCGCTGAGGTTAGTTCCAAATCCACGCCAGACTAAAGCTCTTTGTACGCTCAAAGTTCACGGTCTGTCGAACATTCTTAATGTCTGAAGTCATGGTGGACATAAGGGTGACTGGAATGATGTACTTGCGACTGCGCATTACTGTGTCGTACTCTGATGATGGACAAGAACGTAAGGTTGACGATTTCAGCTAGCAATGAACGGAACATTCTTATGTATCGTTTCATCCACAATTAGTTTGGCAATAAACATTGACTTTGTCCGTTATAAATCACGGCCCATCTGAGTCATATATTCGAAAAGGATAGTTGAATTGTGTGTGTATTGAGAACAGTGCATGAAAAGTATCTGAACGACAATGTAGAACATGACATGAAATTACCCAAGTACCAACACTGATATATACCAAACGGCCAAAAATCTTTACGATGCTGCAATAGGAATCGGTCAGACACAAATAGATTACGTTCAGTTGGTATTAACCTCAAGATTCTGCAATCATACTAGTAACCATCGGATAAGTCCACGTTGGTCAGCATCCATCTCGATATTTGAGCCGAAAATCCCAGCCAAATCACTTTTCACGTCGTCTGCATGCAGGATAAATAATTATTACATTCTGCCGAACCAGTGTACGACAGAACAATGAAGCAGTAGCTAAAGCACATGATACTCTCAAAATACGTACCCATTACACTAAAACAGAAAAGTATGTCATGATTCTCTCAAAATACGTACACATTATAGTAAAAGAGAGAAGTATATCGTAATACTCTCAAAATATATATACATTATACTGAAAGAGAGAAATTTTAAAGAAAAGTGAAGGGTTACTTATTCTTCAACTTCGGCTGGTTATAACATAGATGTGTGAAGATGGCACCAACAAAATGTCTAATAGATACTACTTACCAGTTTTTACCAATGGAAGATAAAACTAACCAGACCATAAAACAGTTACTTACATAATAATCACGTGCTTTTGCATGAAACCACCATGCAAAAGCATGTGACTATTATATATGTTCTATGGTCCTGGTTAGTTTAATAATACATTGGTAAATGAAACCACCCAATACAAAACAAAATAATTACACCAATTTGTGCATGTTTGATGTAAATCGCACATTCTACATGAGAAGAATAAAATCTTCTTTCATTTTTTTACTTTGATCAATCTATTAAAGTAATAAAAAATTTTAAACTGAAGGGTTACATGAAAAAGGTAAAACAGAAAAAGATGAAAATTCACATATAGTTGTATTGTTTGCATGTGATACTTAATTTGTAATAAGTGACATCTAATATAGCAACAGCCAGATTACAGTATGTCATAGAGTAAACACAAGATAGTAAACACAGGACACGAAGATAACGTAGTTCAGCCAAGTGTAGGGTTACATGCACGGTTGAAAGATGCGAGAATGAATATATTGCAAATAGTGAAAGAATGCAATATACATATTCACGACCATGGGATTAAATATTACTCAATCTGATGACCTCTCTAGCTATATTTAGCTAGAATTGACTTTACTACTTAACATGAGTTATTCTCAACAATTCCCCCTTAACTCATGTTAAGAGAACAATAACATCATTAACCTATATTATTACTTCGCGAGAAGTTCTAGAAATATATCTAACACAAGCTACCTATTGTCAACCAAAATTAACTAAAACTAAGCCACAACCATAACATAATAGAGTAATAATATAAAGAGTTAACTAATAAACCTGCTATCATAGAGGAAACAGTCTCATACGTAACCTATATAATTATTCCGCAGAAATTTCTAGAAGGAAATCTAACACCAAGGTTAGTGTTTATACCATAGTTAACTCGATATAAGCTGTAGTCATCACCATTTAGAGTAATTATATAAAGAGATAACTAAAAATACTATGCAAGCAAACTCTACATGTGCTCCACTTGCACAGTAACACAATGTAGTATGAAACTTTCCAAAGAAATAACTTTGGCCAACGCATCAACTAGATTGAGTTCATCATCTATCTTGACTAACTCAAACGTTTTATCACACTGTTTGTCTGATAAAATCATAACTAATGTCAATGTGCTTCACCTTGCTATCTATAACTTGACTCTGAGCCAAATGAAGAGCACTCTGTTTATTACAATGAAGATTGACCACGTCTTGTGTCAATTCCATCTTCATGATAAAACTAATCCATCAAATTATTATTTTTTTCCGCTTTTTCTGCCGCCATATACTCAACTTCCATTGTTGATTGAGCACTTCTACAAGGTAAATCTCCAACTAATGCTTTCACCGCCAAATGTAAACACATTCCTAGTTGTATATCTCTTTTTGTCCAAACTCTATCAGTAGTCAGTATCAACCAAGCCAAACAAGGATTTGACATTGTCTAATAAACCATCAAACAATAAACCATTACCCAAAATATTTTTCAAATATCCCAAAATCCATTTCATTGCTTCGCAATGAATTTTCTTTGGATTTGACATCTATGTCATCACCTTGCTCATTGCAAGAGCAATATCATGCCTAGTGCACACCATCAAATATCTACTTGTTCATAGAGAACGCATGACATTATTTCTTTCTCAACAACATCTAGTGTACATTTAGTTGCGTATGGTTTGAAATGTGATGCCAAAGGAGTACACACTCATTTAGAATTGACCATGTTGAATTTGTCAAGTATACGATGGACATACTAACTTAGCCATAGCCTCTTCATTTAAAAATCTCTATGAATATTCATGCATAATATACTCTATGACTCCTTCATATTCTCCATCTTTAATGCAAATTTCAACTAATTCTTGCATTCATCAATATTGAATTGGTTCTTTGCCAAGGTAACCATTTCATCAACGTAAAAATCTAGAATGATAAAATTGAAAGTTTTATCATTCAACTTTTTCATATAAACACAATAATCATACAAACTTGGTTAGAATCCTTTTGCCGTCATGAACTAATCAAATCGTTTGTTTCACTACCTAGAAGCTTGCTTCAGTTCATATAATGATTTCAACAATCTATAAATCAACCTCTCTTGGTCTTTGACCTCAAAGCTAACCAAGTGCCTAATGTAGATATACTCCTCTAAATATCCATAGAAAAATACTGTAACCACATTTATTTGGTTCTTAACAAGATTCAATATTGCGTCCAATGCGTAATTTGTAACTTTATTTGCTATAAGCAAGAAAACTTTGATGTAGTCCATACTCTTCTCATGTGTGAAATCTCTAGCCATGAATTTGGCTTTGAAGACTTTTGCTTCATCTCTTGTTTGATTGTTCTTTAGATTGTACATCCACTTGAAATCAATCAGTGTTTGATCTCTAGTAAGCTCAACCAACTCTCAAGTATTATTGTCAATTAACAACTGCATCTCTAGCTCTATAGCAGCATTTTATCCAAGTTTATTGATCAAAGCTTGAGCTTCCATGTACAAAAAAGGTTCATTTTCTTCCAAGATCAATGCAATATCATCCATATACTCTATATCAAGGTCATGATCTTCAAGAATGTATGGATTGGTTCATACACTATTATTTTCAAAAGCCCCATTAACACAATGCGATGATCTCATAGTAGATATTTTTGATTGATATTTATTGTCTGGTGCTGTTGCAAGAGACTCACCAACAATTACATGTTATTCTAGTTGTTGCTCCACCTGTACCAATAATCCTTCTTGTGACAAATCATAAATCACATAATAATCAAATTACTCCACAATAACATCAGTGGCTAGAGAATTTACCTTCTCAATACAAGGAGCTTGAAAAATCTACCCTCTTTTTATAAGTTGGACTTATTGAAAGAGACATACAAACTAATAATCACCTTACGGGCTATTGAATCTCATATCATATAAACTTTCACTCCACTAGCATATCCAAAAAAATAAATTTCTTGAATGTCAGGGTAACTTAATTTTAAGCTCTTTGGGTGTGAGAAGATAAGTAATAAGACCAAAAAATTTCAAATGACCACAATTTGCCATCCGTTTATGCGTCAAGTCAAACAGTGTTGAGAAATTGATTGCATTAGAAGTAAAAAAATTTATCAAAGAAATTGCGATGTGAACAAGTTTGGTCTAAAATTCACTTGCCAAATCTGATTCACTGAGCATACTCCGTATCATCTTCAACACTGTTTGGCTGAGACTCTCAAAAACAAAATTTTGTTGTGGAGTATAAACTTTTGTGAAATGACAAGTAATCTTTTTTTATGTATAGTATTTCAAAAAATACTCTGAAGTATGTTTTCAGTCATTATCTGTTTGTAGATATCTTATACTAAGTCCCATATGAATCTCTACTTGGATCCGTCAACTTTTGAAAGTTGGAAGCATCACAAACTTGTGGGTAAGGAAATATATCCACACATACATGAAATAATGATCTATAAAGGATATGTAGTAAAACTTTCAGTACAAAAATCACAAATGAAAATCACACACCAATATATGTGATTCACTACTGAAATAAAAACTTCACTAAAGCAAAAATATTACATCAGAACTCCACAACTCAACTCTTCATTATAAAAGCAAAGAGTAATCAATTGTCTGCCACTAGTGCTCAGGAAGTATTG